TTACGGTTTTTAAGGCGGGACGGAAGCCATCGCGGTGCAGAGATCTGGTCTCAATTGAGATCCTGAAGGGGACCCCCCCACCAATCTCTGCCTTGGCCCGGCCAGCCACTCCATGCAGCAGCTGTCTGGGCCCCCTGTTTTCATATCCGTCTAACATGGATTGCAGATCGAGTTCTCTCCTGGCGGAAGCAAAAGGGTCCTGTGGACGCAGCTCGTCTTCTTAGCAGCAGCAGCCGGGGCTGAGGTTGGACGGCCAATAAAGGGTTTTTGAGATTTTCGTTTGGGGCTGGACTTGGCATTCTTGATGGAGGGGAGAAGGCAGCTTACAAAGGTGCTAGGCCATGTTGTGGTTTTTTAAAATAATTTTTATTAACAGGCCAAGCACATCACATTATTCAAATCACATTAGTTCCAAATTATACAGCCAAATTTTTAATTTTGTTGAGGGTACCCATACATCAAGCTCCGCACGAGTCCAAAATTCCGGATAACTCCAGGCATCACTTATTTTACTGCTTTAATTAGACAGTTCTATCCAGTTCGATCCGGATAGCCCTTTATTACTTACTTTCTCTTGTTGTTATCATATATTCCTTTCTTTGCGATCTCTGATGATTTTCACAAGCAGATTGAAAACTGGCGTCTCTGTGTGGGTTTTGTGCTCTTCAAAGACCATATCGCTCCGGGACAGCCACTGTTCAACGCTTCCATAAACAAAATTAATCTTCGGTCTGTCCTTTATTTTTCCTCAGGCTAGCCAAATAAATCAAATAAAACAGGGGGGCTCTGTCAGGTCAAACTTGCATTCCAACATTCCTTCTCTTTCGAACGATCCTGATTCTCCTCCCCCTGTCCTTCTTTCTCCGGCAAGCCTGTCTTGGCGAGACGCCATTTTTAACTGCGTCATAAAAAATTTCCTCTTTCTCACCGTTCACCAATCTTCTCTCCTGTTGTAATCCATCCCACACAGTCTTAAGATCCTGCTTATGATTAGTAAAACGCAACGATCTTAATTCTTTCTGGGGTGGAGGGTTATTAATATCACATCGTGCAAAGAAAAAAAGAGTTTTTTCCTCCACCACCCCCCTTCGTTCCAAACATACAGTCTCCTAGTGGTAATTCATCAGAAGATTTACTTATCCATCCGTCACTCCTGGTCACAGAGATCCATTAATCAGCAGTCTTATCTCTCAAACATTACTTGATGTATGTGCTTCAGCTTCATTTCCAATCGTATGTTTCCAATTACAATTCCGAGCTGAAGCAACCAGCACGCGCTAATTGGAATCGGCGTCAGGAAGATCTGACTTCACCGAGGGCTCGTGCCAAGTGTTCAGCACCCCATCTCTCGGATCAGGGGGTGCATTGTGAACACCGCTGGCAAGACAGGGCCCCCCACCTCCTGGGGGGGTAGGAAGGCTGCATACTTCCCATAGCAGCCCCTTAATTACCTTGCATGGGTCAGAGAGATGTTATTGTCGGCCATCTTCCAACGCGCCACCTGGTGCCCCCCCCCCGGTGCTAGACCATGTTGTCTTGGGTGTGATTCTGTGGAGAGTGTTTGTGTGTGTGTAAGGGAGAAGAAAGAGAGAGAAGGAAGAAAGAGGGGAGCCTCTAAACCCCCAGATTGTCCGAGTTCCCCTCTTGTACTTCCTTGCAATAGGCCTGATCCCCATGCACAGAGCACTGTGCCCTTTTCATAGAAGCGTGGTGCTGAGGGGGACCCCGAGTGTCATCCAGCCCAATTTGCTGCAGTGTAGGTGTCTTGGCTCCAGCAGTGCCAGCTGCAATGCCCACCACTGCCCTTTAGGGGGCAGCCCGGGCACTTCATGCGCTCCAGAGACATCTGGTGTGTGTGTGTGTGTGTGTGTGCTGTGCATCTTTTGTCTGCAAAGATCCAGATCTCTGAGGAGGGGAGGAGGTCGGCGTTAATTTTAGGCCAGGCTCCATTTACAAACAGTGTTTATTAAAAGCCAGAGGGGTGTTTCTTCGTGCACACAGGGGGAAGGATTAGGTTTGTGGCTGGAGCACCACTGTGCGCTGGAGTGGGCCCAGGGCGCCTTATTCTGGGCACGCAGACGGGGCTAAATTTGTCCCTGGGGTGGGGGTCAGATTCCTGGGCTGCCGGCCTCCTCGTCTGCCTCGCCTGCCTCTGGACGCCTTGCCCTTCCTAGCATCTTGGCCAAATCTCTGCGCTTCCACTCCTAGCATACCCCCCCAAACCCCCACTATTTTTGGCCCGTGGGTCTCCGCATGCTGCTCTCCTTGGGGGGCCTTGCAATCATCTCCCGGCTTACATTTCATGCCTGGACCCCTGGAGATGGAAGAGTGGGGGGTGCTGGCAAGCGGGTGGGGGGTCCATATCAGGTCCAAAACAAGTGTTACCTTATTAGGGCACAGGATTGAAGCCGGGGGGGGGGGGAGAGAGATTGTCCGCGCAATGTTGCCATGCCATGACCCTCAGGGGTCCCTTCCATTCTATGATTTCGCAGGCCTTGGGGAGGGGGCTTTGCTGCATCTCTCTTCTCTCCCTGCCTTGAGCCCGAATGATTGTGTCTGCTCCTTTCTCTCCCCATGCCTTTCTCTGGCTTAAATAGCAGGACCAAATTAACTGCACTCAGGCAGGAGTTCACAGGGTGGTGCAGGGGCAGCTTGGCCACCTGCTCTGTATGCATAGAGAATGCATTGAAAGCACTGCATCACGGGGTTGGACTGGATGACCCTTGGGGGACCCTCCCAACTCTACAGTGCTGTTTCTATGGAATTGCAGGTCCAGGAGTGAATCAGGTGCATCTCACCAGGGGACGTGGAGGCCCTTGCCCCGTATGTGCCAGCCCAGGAGGCACCAAGCCCCACACCAGCCCCCCCGGCCAACATCTGTTGCCACAGATCCAGCAGCCAAGACTGGTGGGATGGGGGACGAGGGACAGGGTCTCTGGCCTCCTTTTTAACCCAGAGAATGTTCAACGTCCCGCTGTGTCTGGTCGTACTTATTTCAGGGCAGCTGTAAACTCAGAACACATTTAGCAAAGTTTACTATCTGGGAAGGGAAGGCATGGGCCGCGTGTCTGAGCCTGTTGGGTGCACAGAGCCCAGGGCCCTGTCCTCACAGGGAACCTTGGGATCCCGATGGACTGCCTGTGGGCCTGGAGGTTCCATAAGCAGAGCCTGGTTGTGGGATCAGGCCAAAGAGGCTCTCTGCAGTGGCCTTTGCAGTGACATCTAAGCACCTAGGAATTGAGTGAGAGACTGCCTCTGGAGCTGGAGGGTCCATAGAAGACAATATGGTCAAAGGGGGCCCATCGAGTAAGCCACCAAGCAGGACCTGCCCAGTGCTTGTTTTCCATTGTCTAGTATTCAGTGTTAGACTGCCCCTGGGCTTGGAGGCTCTACTATCCCATCCTGGTCTCATTCAGAAGCATTTGCTGTCTCCAAGAGGGGAGGGTGAGTGCAGCCATCATGGCTGGGTAGCTGCAGGTTCCAAGCTCCACACAGAGTGGAGGGCAAGGGGCAAGTCGGGGGGGGGGGGGGACGGCTGCAGTTACAGGGGGGAGGCGGCTGGTGGAAATGCAGCCTGGAGACAAGGGCTTGAGCAGGACGTGTCTCCCTGGGGTAGAAGCAGAAGGTCTTGGGTTTGATTCCTGACATCTCCTTGCCTGAAAGCCTGGACAGCTGCTGCTGGCCTGTGCAGACAATGTGGAACCCGACTCCACAGCTTTGTGTTAAGACCATAAGGACCAAAATCTTTATTTCCAAAGACAAGCTTGGTGGACAAGCACCTGGCTTTGCATGCAGGTCCCGGGGTTGACTGTTGCTCCTCTGAAACCCCCAGAGAGATCCCGACCAAGCCGTGCCCCACAGCAGTCGCATTCCTGCGCTGTGTTTCCCCAGGAGGTGGTGACATGCTTGTCCCAAGGACCTTGTCGCTCCTGGAGGTTTAATCTGCCGGGGGGGGGGGGCAGGTGACCTTGGCGGAGTGACTTTTTTCCACAGAGGGTGCGCAGCATCACCCTATAGAGCCAACAGCCAGAGAGGGCCCCACTTCTCTGCCGAGGAGGAAGAATCCGCCCCGCAAGGATGGGTTTGCCACCTCCCAGAGGAAGCCAATGGGGCAAAGATGCAGGGAGGGCGTTCCCCCCCCCCATTGGTCTGTACTTTTGAGATTATGGGATGTCTGGAAATCCGCCCTTTAAGTCAGAACGCTGAGGACTTGAATCTTAGTAGATCTTTGGTAATAAATACAAGTTTGTCTTCAAAACAGGACTAGAATCTTGCTTTGCCCGAAAGCAAATGTTCAGAGAACCATAGAATGATAGATTTGGAAGGGACCCCAATGGTCATCTAGTCCAACCCCCTGCAATGCAGGAACCATTTGCCCAATGTGGGGCTCAAACCTGCAAGCCTGAGATTAAGTCTCCTGACTGAGCTATCATAGCCAAGTGGCAGCTGTTGGCCGGTCCTTTTGAGCCATCTCTGCTGGGTGGTGTGTAGACAATATGGAATGAGAGGCAGTGGACCTGGGAGAGACCTGGGTTCAAATCCCAACTCAGTTGTGTAGCCCCACCTTGGGGGCCAGTCGCTGGCTCTCAGCTTCACCTACCTCATAGGGTTGTTGGGGGGACAAAACAGGAGAAAGAATCCTGAGTCACATGGTCTGAGTCACATTGCTTTAATTAAAAACAGGAATTTGGGAGGGAGCTGCTGTATCAGGACAGGGAACAGCTTAGCACTCGCCACAGTCATCATCACCGCTGCTTGCCTGAGGTCGGCCATGGGCAAGAATCCTGCTCTGCCCACTAACCACCCTCCCCCCATTTCTCCCATACTCAGCTTGCACCCCACAGATCAAACCCCTCCAGCCACCAGACCCTCCCTTCCCTTGTCTTGGGGGTCCCCTTACTTTTTCCACCTCACCAGCTCCGCAGAACCACCACCCTCCAGCCCCCACAACCAGCACAGCAATGTGTGGGAAGCCCCACCCCCACCCCAAACCCCCCAGCTCCCAACCACTGGCTGTCCAACCCCACCGGGACCCACAGCTGCCCCCTTTCTGTACCACTTGCTTATTATCCTCATAGATTTCTAGAGTTGGAAGGGACCCCAAGAGTCATCCAGCCCAATGCCCTGCAATGCAGGAATATCCCACCCAACATGAGATTCGAACCCGCAACCCAATCTGCCGTCTCTGCTGCCCTCACCACCTGCTTGCTCCTAGGCTGCTCCTTACAAGACACAAGGATCCTGCCTGGATTTCCAACCCTTGCACAGAGCCCACCACCACCACCTGGCCCCAACCCCACGTGGGGGGCAGAGCAGGATCTGGCCAGCAGCCTGTGAGTGACAGGGCAGGGAGTGTAAGTGGGCTCAGGGAAAGGGGGGTGCTGGGAGGGGTCTGCTACAGGCAGTGCAGCATGCTCAGGGCATAGCTGAGGCGCTCTCGCAAGGGGATCGTCCAACCTCGCAGGACCAGCGTCTCCAGCGGGAAGGTCCTGCTCTGGCGCTGCCGGTCGACGAAAGTCAGGAGGTACCCCCCAGCTGATGTGGGGCTCAGCACAAGCTTGGTGCGGTCGTGGTAGAAGTTGACCTGGGAATGGGGGTCAGAAAGGGGAGGAAGTGAGGGGTGTGTGGAAAACAACTTGGTGGGAAAGAAAAAGCGTAAGATGGAGACCCCTCCTCCCCACTTACCTGCAGGGTCCCGTCGCTGAAGAGCATCAAAAGTGCCTCCTGGGACTTTGCAAAGTGCAGGAGGCAGAGGTTGTCCAGCGAGGTGGTGGGACTTGCCTGCTGGTGACCCCCCTGGGGAAGGAGGAGGGGAAATTGTAGAATGGCAGAGATGGAAGCTAAAGCTATGGTTTCCCAGTAGTGATGTATGGAAGTGAGAGCTGGACCATAAAAAAGGCTGATCGCCGAAGAATGGATGCTTTTGAATTCTGGGGCTGGAGGAGACTCTTGAGAGTCCCATGGACTGCAAGAAGATCAAACCTCTCCATTCTGAAAGAAATCAGCCCTGAGTGCTCACTGGAAGGACAGATCCTGAAGCTGAGGCTCCAATACTTTGGCCACCTCATGAGAATAGAAGACTCCCTGGAAAAGACCCTGATGTTGGGAAAGATGGAGGGCACAAGGAGAAGGGGACAACAGAGGATGAGATGGTGGATGGTGTTCTTGAAGCTACAGCATGAGTTTGACCAAACTGCGGAGGCAGTGGAGGACAGAAGTGCCTGGCATGCTCTGGTCCATGGGGTCACGAAGAGTCGGACATGACTAAACGACTAAACAACAACAACAACAACCTCGGGTTACATACGCTTCAGGTTACAGACGCCTCTAACCCAGAAATATTACCTCACGTTAAGAACTTTGCTTCAGGATGAGAACAGAAATCGTGCAGCAGCGGCAGCGGGAGGCCCCATTAGCTAAAATGGTGCTTCAGGTTAAGTACAGTTTCAGGTTAAGAACGGACCTCCAGAACGAATTAAGTACTTAACCAGAGGTACCACTGTATTTATTATGTATTTTCTGTTTTTTATATTGTGATTTTATATTGTGAACATAGCTGAATCTCCAGCCGTGTTTCCATTATTGCTGGGGCTATGGAAAGGGTTCAAGGCGGGTAAAACCAAAATACAGTTATGTGGCACCACCAGGATGCCCACACCAAGATTACCAGTCCAGGGAGAAGTCTTGGAAGACGGAGAAGCATTGCCCAGTAAGAAGTACCTGCTGACATGTCCCAGGAACTGCTCTTTCAAACCTACTCACCAGGCATATTCTCACTCCTGGCAAATGAAATCTCCCTTTTCTCTCTTAACTAAGTTATGGATGGGTCAGAAGGGGAAAAGAGCTGAATAAGCATCTCTGTGAATATGCAAAGAGTCCTGTC